GTCGGAAAGGAACCTTCTCTCGGCGGCTATGTAGAATGGCCGGCTATATTGAAATAACGCGTTAAAAACTCTTCTCCACCGCCGCGGGGCCTGCACAGGAGGCTAATCTCCAATGTAAATCTGAGTGAGTTGCATCGTTTTAATTAGGATCGAAAGTAGAACTACTTCCTGATTGCTGTGTTCTCCCCTGCTGCAGGACTGTGTACCCCGCCTACGGTGCTGGTCCACGGCACGGTGACCCTGAACGGCGGCCTGGCCGTGGGCGACACCGCCAGCATATCCTGTCTCTCCGGCTACCGGCTGGACGGAGTGGACCAGATCACTTGTCAGGGCGCGGCGGACAACGGCGGATGGAGCGATCCTATGCCGAGATGCGTCCGTGAGTTTAGGAAAAAATACAGAAGTAGAAATAGTTTGGGCAACGCCAGCAATCAAAACACCGACTATGATAACAATCAATCTATATGTAGATACGACTGTGACAGCACATACAGATAGAAAGACATATACAGACAATCCAAAAACAACGGGAGTGAAGTAATAATTCCGAATGAGCGGTCGCCATCTTGGATCCCATTCGCCCCACCAACATGGCGGCATCTATCTATCTTTAGACAGTTTAGTATAATAACGCCACTGGTCACTATTACTGGTCATTAATCAAATTAATGACGTCAGGGAGGGTATGATCCTGTTATGTCCTGTTTTGACCAAACTCTTTTCAATCAGTTCGTTATTACTCCGTGACGGAGGTCAGGACCTCCGAGAAGGAGTGTTGTGAACGGCTGGTTTTTCGTGTTCGCAGTCAAAACACTGGGTTCTCTTTGTGTAATCGGCACGCAATTTTATACGCCGTCTGCGGGCTTGCCCGTGTTGATGCACGAATGTGTATTTTTGCCGTTGCTGCTTTCGCGGTCAATGTAATATTGCAGACGCACCCCTACAATTACGAGGCGAATTGGAATGGTCCAGAAAAACGCGTTGTTTGGAATAGCAGTGGGGGGGGGTGGAACTTCATGCAGATACGGGGTGGTTTTGATAAGTGGTTCCAGATGTTTTTACCCATGGTTAAGAGATGGCAAGTTTTTTGGAAGATGTTCGCAGCCAAAACGCACTCTTCCGTACGTCGCATTTCTGTGTAATTTCGCATGTGGTGTTGCATTATGTCCGGGATGATGCACGTCTTTTTATTTTTACCGTAGCTGTTTTGATATTGGAGTAAATGCATATTTTAGAAACATCCCTACTTTTACAATCCTGTGGAATAGGCCGTAGGTTTAGGCAGTTGTCTGGTAGCAGAGGTTCTCCAAGCAGATATCCCGGGTATCTGACCGGCGGAAGTAACACTCGCGGTGCTAGCCGCGACTGTTGCTGGAATTTGGCTTGTTCCAGTTGCGCTTAATAAGTAACAGGCACGGTAAGACGGTGTCTTCGTTAATAGTGACACGACCATGATAGTCCGATCTTTATGTGAATGCAATGATTGTGTGTGTGTAATCAAAATGAACTTCAAACTTGAAGCACAGTATCTTTACACGCCCTGGGAGCAGTAATGGATTTAGGTCTTTTTATGTTTTATGCTTGTGACGCGCCATCATTGTATTAACCGTTGCCTAATTATAATGTCTGCACAGTAGGTCTGGCGTTGACCCTTGTGATGTTGTTTTTGTTGAAATATATAAAACTTCACGGAGGATTGTTACCTATGGCTTCTTGTTTCTGTTTAATTTGTTTGTTTGTTTGTTGTTGTTGTTTTTTTCCATTGAAAATGTGTTCCGTATCACCTGTGGCGATTTTCCAGATGAGTGCGGCGAAACCTTCACCGCCCCGCGCGGTAAGCTCTACTCCCCCGGACATCCCGGGAACTACCCCGGGGATACAACGTGTACGTACACGGTGTCGGCGCCGCCGGGGACCGGCATCCACATCCAGGTTGTCAGCTTCAGCACCGAGGACGGGCATGACATCCTCAGGGTAAGGTCTAACAAGAGCAAAGATTCTGCTACAGTACCGTAAAAAGTCGCTAGGGGGCATAAATGAACCACGTGTATCTACACACTGTTGGCCCAGCATTGGACCGGCATCCACCTCCAGGTGGTCAGCTTCAGCACCGAGGACGGGCATGACATCCTCAGTGTAAGGTCTAACAAGAGCAAAGATTCTGCTACAGTACCGTAAAAAGTCGCTAGGGGGCATAAATGAACCACGTGTATCTACACACTGTTGGCCCAGCATTGGACCGGCATCCACATCCAGGTGGTCAGCTTCAGCACCGAGGACGGGCATGACATCCTCAGGGTAAGGTCTAACAAGAGCAAAGATTCTGCTACAGTATCGTAGAAAGTCGCTAGGGGGCATAATTGAACAACGTGTTCCTACACACTGTTGGCCCAGCATTGGACCGGCATCCACATCCAGGTGGTCAGCTTCAGCACCGAGGACGGGCATGACATCCTCAGGGTAAGGTATAAAAAGAGCAAAGATTCTGCTGCAGTATCGTAGAAAGTCACTAGGGGGCATAATTGAACCACGTGTGCCTACACGCTGTCGGCGCCGCCGGGGACCGGCTTCCACATCCAGGTGGTCAGCTTCAGCACCGAGGACGGGTATGACATCCTCGGGGTAAGGTCTAACAAAGATACGAAGAACGAATGTTCTGCTACAGTACCGTAAAAAGTCGCTAGGGGGCATAATTGAACAACGTGTACCTAGACGGTGTCGGCGCCGCAGGGGGTCGGCATCCACATCCAGGTGGTCAGCTTCAGCACCGAGGACGGGTATGACATCATCAAAGTACGGCTACAGTACCATACAAAGTCGCTAGGGGGCATTACCGTGCTTTATATTGCTGACACATATCTACATACCAACTAGAGGTCGGAGATCTCAGATCATGTCTTCGTCAGAGGGACATTGTTCTAGATAACGGAACGTTTTTTAATACTAGAAATCAATTTGGTCTAGAGTACAAAAGAATCTCTGTACTCCTTTTTTCCTTTTTTTATTCTACGACAGTGTAATGAGAAGATGTGATGAAAGGAAAGAATCAGAACAAGGGGAGATTTATTGCTGTTTTCGTTTGTTGTTACACTATGTTCTTTTATTCAATTTGCATCATAACCTTTGTATTTCCACAGTTAGTATGTTCCAAATCTGTGCATGTTAATCAGGTTTTTTTGGCCTTCATGCATTTTATCGCGCTTTTTTCAATAAATTTAAGGTCTCCAGTGGACATCATCCATAAAAATTACTTGGTCTGGCCTTACAATTTAGGGAATGACCTGCCTGACGCATGTCCACCTTTGTCCTCCCCCGCCCCAGTATTCATAGGACAGCCCCTCAATTGTAAGCAATTGATACCAGATGCGGCCGGGGACAGCTGTCCCCCATGTGAATCAATGCAGAGCTTGGTGGGGGTAGTTCATTATATATCTAACACAAAAGGTTCACTGCAGCGACATAGGGACCCCCCACGAGACCCATTTTAGAACTTGACCTTGGCCTCTACGATGGTAAGTTGTCTACCAAAAATCATGAACAACTGTTTAAATATACTCGAGTTATTTTGCTAACAAGCCACAAATAGTCCACTGCAGTGACGTACGGACCCCCACGAAGCCCAAACTTGTACTTGGCATTGGCCTCCACAACGGTAATCTGCCTGCCAAAAATCATGGACGTCGAATAATGCCTTCAAGAGTTATTTTGCTAAATCCGCAGTCACCCACAATGCGGCGAGACAATTTCATAGTCCTTCTGACGAAGACAAATATCATACAAATTTATCCACGCACAACAAACTCTTAGCGATTTTCTGATTTTAAGAAGTATATCCAATATACTCAACAACAATCTCTGAATCAAAGCTAAGAAGCTGGCGAAATTTACAAACATGCTATAAACAGCTCTGGTATGATAATGATTGTTGCATTGGTTGCTAGATGATTAGTTAGCTGATTACTTTATCGTTGAATGTGCTTGTGAACTCCACAGGTGTACAATGGTGCCGACTCGTCTTCTGGAGCTGTGCGCAGCTACTCCGGGAGCCTGCCGGCTGATGCCGATTCCCGGCAGTACTACAGCATCTCCACACAGCTCTACCTGAGATTCACCTCAGATTCGTCTACCTCAGATTCAGGCTTCATCATCGACTACGAACGTGAGTCAAAAATCAGCTTTTGTTCAAAGTTAAAACTTTCGATCCAATACTAAAAGAATGGTTCTCATCTAGAGTTTTTGACCAGTCACTCTAGTCTTCCTCAGTAGAATGGCCCGGTGAGGCTTGTCAAGTGGCTTCTTTGAAGTTTGACGTCAACACTAGGCCAAAGAAGACACGTGACAAGCCCCACCGGGTCAGTCTACTGAGGAAGACCAGAGTGACTGGTTGAAAGCTGTAGGTGATAACCATTCTTTGTGTTGGATCGAAAGATTTAACTTTAAACATCTAACTACCAATACAGATTAACTTTCATGAAAGCATGCAACGTTTGTGCTCGCCTGTCCTGACCTGATGATGGGTGTCTTACGAAAGACCACAACGACATCTTTGCGAGGAAATTATTTCAGTGCGCGTGGAAAGTTGTAGCTATGGTCCTTCGTACATGTAGCTGCTACTCGATGAACACGTAATTACATTGTTTTCATGTTACAGCATCTAAGTCACGAGTCGACGTCGACACCACATATACCTTTCGATTTTGTTGTCAAAACTTTGGTAACACCTGAGAGGTGCATTTTTCTTTTTCTTTATCTGATAAAAGTGCTCTATTTCAATCCATGACAATGTGTAGACTATGACCTGAGTACCAGAGAGTGTGACGACCCCGGCACGCTGGCCCACGGCACCCAGATCGTGACGGGCATGCACGAGGGGGACTTCATCTTCTACACCTGCGACCCGGGCTACGAGCTGCACGGCCCGCAGGCCATCATGTGCCTCCCCGGGGACAACAGGGTCTGGAACGACGCTCCGCCAACTTGTGTCGGTAAGGTTAGGCTCTACTACTCTCCAAGCCGATCGCGATCTTTCGGTGGCCGCAAAATACAGTATCAAATTGGCCAGGCAGTGTCCGTTGGCCACACGAGTGACCAATGGATGCTGTTAGTTAGTACTCAGGAGGCATGGTAGCTCTAGTGGATGACATAATTTTGAATTTACAACTTGCTAAGACTTACTTTGTCGATTAAGGTAAGGCGACTCTCCATGCTATCAATAGAAAGTTTATTTTTCACAAAGTGAAAGGGAGGGCAAAACAAGTTGCCCTCCCCCATACAAAAACACATATACAACATCAAAATTTAAAATACACAGAATAAGCAATCAATATAGAAGGTTAAGCATAATTCAAATAAGGAAAACATATTGTTTTTGCTCAGTTTCTTCTTCTTCTTCCTCTCCAAACAGTGACCTCTGACCTGGCCAATGGCCTGATTTGTCTGTCACCATGGTAACTGGTGTTGGGCTACATAATGTTGCAATTTCATAGTAGGAGGGATTTAGACTCCTGTCACCATATATTAGATATGTCAATGTGTTTGAGTAAGAATTAACAGAGCAGACCGTATGCGAAGGTAAACATTATGCATTTGCTTTGCAAATGATACTTTTGTAGTAATAAATTCTAGATTACGGAATATCATATTGGCTACAAGCTAGAGTTGTGGTTGTCTCTCCTAACAGCATCAGCGCCCTGTGACGACCCGGGTACCCCCAGCCACGCCAGCAGTGTCGCGACAGGTTTCGCGGCCGGAGACTCCGTCACCTACACCTGCGACCCTGGTTACACCATGCACGGTACCGCCACTATCACCTGTCTGACTGGGGACAACAGGGTCTGGAGCGATGCACCGCCAACTTGTATCGGTAAGGTACTAGATAGGCTCTACTAATCAAGCCGACATTTCGGTGGTCGCAAAAGACAGTATCAAACTCGAAAGGCCGACAAGTTTGACATACCTACCAAAGCATTTGAATGCACTTCATACTGTCAATATGGTATGGCTTAGTGCATGTGTTAATGCAGTTAACCGAATTAAATCCCAACAGCCAATCACCAAGAAGAAGTAGCGGAAAGCTGCCTGCCTATTGGCTCCTGCTCTGCATGCCATTCTGATGACTCATCCCCCACTATACTGTAAACTGTGAGCTGAAAAAAGTAAAAAAAAGTCCCAAATTATAGACGTTTAAGGGAGAATATGCCAAAAATCATAATGAATTGTTTGCGGAATGTCACATCACCAATGTTGTGGTTGTTTCTCCTAACAGCATCAGCGCCCTGTGACGACCCGGGTACCCCCAACCACGCCAGCAGTGTCGCGACAGGTTTCTCGGCCGGAGACTCCGTCACCTACACCTGCGACCCTGGTTACACCATGCACGGTACCGCCACTATCACCTGTCTGACTGGAAACAACAGGGTCTGGAGTGATGCACCGCCAACTTGTATCGGTAAGGTACTAGGCTCTACTAATCAAGCCGACATTTCGGTGGCCGCAAAAGACAATATCAAACTCGAAAGGCCGACAAGTTTGACATACCTACCAAAGCATTTGAATGCACTTCATACTGTCAATATGGTATGGCTTAGTGCATGTGTTAATGCAGTTAACCGAATTAAATCCCAACAGCCAATCAGCAAGAAGAATAGCGGAAAGCCGCATGCCTATTGGCTCCTGCTCTGCATGCCATTCTGATGACTCATCCCCCACTATACTGTAAACTGTGAGCTGAAAACAGTCAAAAAGTCCCAAATATACAAGTTTAAGGAAGAATATATCAAAAATTATAATGAATTGTTGTTGGTAGATATATAAAGCATACCCTTACCAAATTTCAGAAGATTTGGTTGTAATACTAGGTCTCCAGAACCCCAAATGTACAGATGTCAGAAAATGGCCAAAAAATAATAAAACAAGCGGTTGTTTCTCCTAACAGCATCAACGCCCTGTGACGACCCGGGCACCCCCAGCCACTCCTCTCGTGTTGTGGAAGGTTTCGGACCGGGAGACAAAATCACCTACACCTGTAACCCTGGTTACACCATGCACGGTACCGCCACCATCACCTGTCTGACTGGGGACAACCGGGTCTGGAGCGCAGCGCCCCCTACATGCAGAGGTACAATATGTATACGGTCTGTATCGGTATAACCACCCTTCAGCGTAACACGGCAGCTTCGTATAATCTCCAAGCAGATCTTTTGGTGGGGGTTAGACAGTATCAAATTGGCCAGTCTGTAACCATTGGTGGGGAAATGGTTACAGACTGGCCAATTTGATACTGTCTTACCCCCACCAAAAGATCTGCTTGGCTTCGTAGGCAGCTAGCTATATTACTCCAAACGATGATGGGGAAAATGTAGGATTTAAAATAGTATGCATCCTTGATAGGACGCTTGAACGCATGTTGATGAGTCTTTCTGAAAAAAAATGTGTCCCAAATCTTATTCCTCGTCTATCAGATGATGTCGAGGGAAACGTTTTGTCGCTGATCATGTTTTTCTCTCTTTATGATTGACAGCCGAATGCGGTGCAGACTGGACCACGCCAACAGGGGCCGTGCTGTCACCGAACTACCCCAGTACGTACGGCTATAACCGCAACTGTATCTACACTATCAGTGTCCAACCTGGACAGGGCATCAGACTGACTGTCAGGGACTTCGTCACGGAAAGTTCGGACGACTACTTACAGGTAACTCGATAATTAGAGAGAGAGACAAAACTACAAAGTAGAATCTTCATTAGTATCCTCATTTACAGAAATACCATCGAGTTTCTTTCCTGTTAAAGTTACCTCCCCTTTTTTATTGTTTTTGCTCTGTTTCTTCTTCTTCTCCTCCAAACAAATAAGGCCAAATCTGACCCAGACGTCTGGAACCATGGTAACTAGTGTTGGGTTACATCATGTTGCAATTTTATAGAAGGAGGGATTTAGACTCCTGTCACCATATGAATGTGCTTACTAGTAATAATTAACATAGCAGACCATATATGAGTGTAAATATTATGCAGTTGCTTTGCAAATGTCACCTTTCTATTTTCCCCGTTAAATCTGTCCAGATCCGTGACGGCAGCCATTCCACGGCGACGTATATCGGCCAGTACAGTGGAACACAGTTACACACAGGTGACGTCATCGAGAGCACGTCCTACCAGCTGTGGCTGAAGTTCTGGGCGGATTCGACGTCCACTTACACAGGGTTTCACATCGACTACGAGGGTATGTTTCACTATAGACGTTGCAATATTCTAAAAAAACATACATAGTGCAATAAAGAGTCAATGCCCCGCCCCGAAGTGTGATAATCCCTGGTCAGGTGCGATCACCACCGAATAAACCACAGAGTGAGCGTAGCGAACGACGTGGTTTAAGAGGTCATATAGCCTATCCCACTGGCACGGATATTTGACACAAATTCCTTTTTAAAATTCCTCCATTGCCGACAAAAACCTCTCACATCCTATGTTACGTGAAACCAAATGGTGAGGACAGAAAACAGATCATCTCAGCAATTATGACATTGGAACAGTACCACGTTTTAATAGAGGTGTCAAAAATTATGTTTAGCCATATTCTGTTTAAATTCCATTTGTATCTTTTTAATTGTGTTGTACTTTACAATAGATTATTCACAATAAACTACAATACGTTTTTAATAGATAGATACTACAAGTCTTAACACTACTGTTTGTACCCTGTACCCTGTATAATGGTACGGTCTAAAAATGGTCGCTTATTCTAATAACCGATCACCTCTGAAGTTACGGCCTGAAAACAAATGGGAAATGGAGCCTTCTGATTCGTCGACGTCTTCTGGTTATATGATAATCCTCATTAAGACCACTAGAGAGAAATCTTACTGAGCTCAGCTAATGTGATGAAAAGCGATTCGTAGTATGAGAAATATATTACTGTGAAATGTATCAGTCGCTGAGTTTGTCCGACAATGGTCTCTCATTTTATATTACCCGAACAGCTTTTGATATCACACTGAGGGACTGTGACGACCCGGGCACCCCCAGCTACTCCAGCAGAGTTGTGAAAGGCTTGTCTGCAGGCGACACCATCACCTACACCTGTAACCCTGGTTACACCATGCACGGTACCGCCACTATCACCTGTCTCACCGGCAACAGTAGGGTCTGGAGCGCAGCACCGCCTACCTGCACAGGTACTACTGGTCGCCAAACATTCTAGATCTGTTGCATATTCCCAAAGTCCTTTGGTATTCTTATACCCATCCATTTCGCTATTCATTCACATGGCGTTTCTTTTGTAAAAATAAACGAAAAGTCACTTTTACGCTTTCTTGATAATCAGCTATGCCAATATCCTATCTTGAAAGTTCATCTGTGTCATTATGAAACAAGTTTGAACTGCACTTTCCAACACAAGAAATTGGACTCACCCAAATTTTCGACTGCACAACTCAAGTCTTTGTCAAGAAATGATCACACGTAACACACGTGAGGTCATCTACATCAGGGCATAACAACCATCCCTCAATAGAGACGGGGGCGCCACAGACTTTCTGCAACCTACGATCCACTGTTTACGGAGTCACGTGTGTTATCTGGATGACGCCACGGAAGCGGTGGATTGCTCATTCCTTGACAAAGACTGGAGTTGTACAGTCGAAAATGTGGGAAAGTCCAATGTCTTGAGTTAGAAATTGCAGTTCAAATTTGTTTCATAATGCAAATATCCTGTTCAGAATTATTGACACTTTTTGTTGACAGCTGAGTGTGGTTCAGACTGGACTGCGCCAACAGGTGCCATACTGTCTCCCAACTACCCCAGTACGTACGGCTATAACCGCAACTGTATCTACACTATCAGTGTCCAACCTGGACAGGGCATCAGACTGACTGTCAGGGACTTCGTCACAGAAAGCAGCGATGACTACCTACAGGTAACTCGATAACTCGAGAGAGACAAAACTGCAAAGTAGAATCTTCATTAGTATCCTCATTTACAGAAATAACGCCGAGTTTCTTTCCTGTTGAAGTTACGTCCCCTTTTTATTGTTTTGGCTCTGTCTCTTCTTCTTCTCCAAACAAATAAAGTCAATATGACCTAAAACAGGCATATTTCACCATGGTAACTAGTGTTGGGGGGGGGGGTTCATTATGTTGCAATTTTATAGCAGGAGGGATTTAGACTCCTGTCACCATATGCATATGAATCTGTTTGAGTGATAATTAACAGAGCAGACCATATGCGAATGTAAACATTATGCATTTGCTTTGCAAATGTTACCTTTTCTATTTCCCCGTTAAATCTGTCCAGATCCGTGACGGCAGCCATTCCACGGCGACGTATATCGGCCAGTACAGCGGAACACAGTTACACACAGGTGACGTCATCGAGAGCACGTCCTACCAGCTGTGGCTGAAGTTCTGGGCGGATTCGACGTCCACGTACACAGGGTTTCACATCGACTACGAGGGTATGTTTCACTATAGACGTTGCAATATTCTAAAAAAAACATACATAGTGCAATAAAGAGTCAATGCCCCCGTCAATGCAACATGACACGTTATGCGACACAATCTTCATCAAGACTTCTGCAACTACTTATAGAAACCTTATTTGGGGGCCAGAATTTTTGTTATGGTTAATGAATAGAGTAGAATAATTGTGCTCTTATGTGCCAGAGTAACAAAGCGAATGTGGTGTATAATGCTTTGCTAACTAAAATGTGTGCCTGGTAAAGGTAACATTTAATGAGAACACCAGTGAGATTGTCTGCTGATGAACTTTTTTATTGCCTGAACAGCTTTTGATATCACACTGAGGGACTGTGACGACCCGGGCACCCCCAGCTACTCCAGCAGAGTAGTGACAGGCTTGTCTGCAGGCGACACCATCACCTACACCTGTAACCCTGGTTACACCATGCACGGTACCGCCACTATCACCTGTCTCACCGGCAACAGTAGGGTCTGGAGTGCCGCGCCCCCTACCTGCACAGGTACTACTATACTGGTCACCAAACATTCTGTTGCATATTCCCAAAGTCCTTTATGTTCCTTTGACACTCTTATACCCATCCATTTCATTCACAGGGCGTTTCTTTCGAAAATAACAGCCTCCAGTTTAATTCCGAACTTCCCGTTTAATTCGGGACTAATTCCACATCTCAGCAACCTTACATCTAGATGGGCTAATAGTGTAAACTATAAGTAAAACTAATGTAAGAAATATGTATGCGTAGCAGCCATCGAGGACCCCTTGGGGATTAACCCAATTCTGTAAAATTCTGTCTGCAGTTCCAGAATTTTGGAGATTTGCAGGATTGGGTTAATTCCCAAGGGTCCTCGATGGCTGCTACGTATTTCTTACATCATTTTTACCTATTGTTTACCATATTAGCCAATCTAGATGTAAGGTCGCTGAGATATGGGAATTAGTCCAGAATTAAAGTCCTGAATTAAACTGGAGGCTGTTAAATGCACTATTGATACTTTCTCTTGCCAGCTGAGTGTGGTGTAGACTGGACCGCGCCAACGGGAGCCATACTGTCTCCGAACTACCCCAGTACGTACGGCTATAACCGCAACTGTATCTACACTATCAGTGTCCAACCTGGACAGGGGATCAGACTGACTGTCAGGGACTTCGTCACGGAAAGTAGCGGCGATGACTACTTACAGGTGAGGAAACGTTTCATAGAGATGCATCAGCCGAGTACAGATGGCTATTGCTTCTTTATGAAGTCAGGTTGCCCACTTTTGTATATCAAAATATCAACAGTCACTTGAATGCGCACTTTCGCATGCCAAAATATCACTTGAATACGCCAAAAAAGCAGTTACTCAAGCAACTGTTTTTTTGGCATATCTTATTTCCTGTGTGTCTAACTTTTACTGAAATCTCTTGAATACCAGGATATTCTCTATGAAACAAAACAGAGTATCGCATGTCTATTGTAACCTAGACCCAAATGTTTTCTTCAGCAACTACATTTTACTATACTTCATTTGATTTTACAACATTATAAAAAAGTGATGGGGTAACTGTTTATCACATATATTAAAATTAAAGTTACGGTCTTTATTCCATACCTGTCCCTTTTGCAAATCCTTCCAGATCCGTGACGGTAGCCATTCAGCGGCGACGCTGATTGGCCAGTACAGCGGATCCCAACTTCACGCTGGTGACGTCATCGAGAGCACATCCTATCAGCTGTGGATGAAGTTCTGGGCTGATACATCGTCCGCGTACACAGGGTTTCATATCGACTACGAGGGTATTTTTTATATTTCAGTCCATACCATGGTATGGATGAAATATATTGTGTTCTCCTCCTTCTCCTGCCAAACAGTCAAAGGGATTCAACTCCGCCATCATTCAGCCAAATGACTTGAAATTTGGCATGGTGGTAGAGTGGGCCAATACCCCCAGGCGTTTTATTTTATTTTTTTGATACATGCCTTTGAAAAATTTTTATGAAGGTTTTTTGGGGGCATTTTTCGCCAAAAAATGGATTTTTGGATCCTGAGCCCTGGTTTTACAACCAAATGATCTGAAATTCGGTATAAGGGTACCTTGAACATGTGTCTACAGAATAGTCCACTTTTGTATGGGAGGGGGATGGACTGAAATATGCTGCATTTGCTCCCAAGCAAATGTCAGCCTCTCTAGTTTCATTTTCATTCAGTACACAACAGCAATGTGACGTTACGAAGTTATACAACGCAATCTTCATCAAGACTTCTGCAACTGTTTTATTATTAGATACCTTATTTGGGGACCAAGCGGCAATATGACGTGGTGCATCCTATCTAGAGACGGACCCCTTTATCCATATCATATTTTTGTTGTTATTAATTATAGAGTATAATAATTGTGTTCTAATAGTAATATACCAGAGTAACAAATCCAGTGTGATGCAATGTTTTGCCGGCAACTCAAATGTGTGTCATGTTCTCATTAGATGGTAAACGTACAATCTAATGAGAACACAACTGAAATTGTCGGCCAATGACTTCTTTACTTTTCTTTTATATTACCCGAACAGCATTTGATATCACACTGAGGGACTGTGACGACCCGGGCACCCCCAGCTACTCCAGCAGAGTTGTGACAGGCTTTTCTGCAGGCGACACCATCACCTACACCTGTAACCCTGGTTACACCATGCACGGTACCGCCACTACCACCTGCCTCACCGGCAACAGTAGGGTCTGGTCGGACCCAAACCCCACTTGCGTAGGTAAGAGACTCCAAAACACACTTGTGTATTCCAAAGTCATAATATGTAAAGAAGCAACAAAATTTGTATTGCAATATTATGAGATATCAGGGTGCAGTGTTAACAGGTACTGCAGCTCAATTGGGACCCTAGCATAGTTGTGACGAAAACGCTTTAGCTACTCCAGTGAGGATGGGCTTTCTGATGATACAGGTTCAAATGTCTGCATGAAAGTTCATCTGAGTTGGTAAATTACATTATGAAAAATTTAAACTGTTCTCCAACTCATAAATTTGACTGAATCACTCAGTCTTCCTCAGCTATCTGACCCAAATGCTGTGGAGACGTGATTTTTCCAACGTGTGACGTCAGCAAAGGGTCAAAGGTTGTCTGAAGTCGATATCGCCCCCCGTCTCGGTTGAGTGATGGTTGGAGTGCCCTGATGTAAATGGCCTCTTTTATGCCTCTCTTTAAGTAATCGCAGGTTAAAATGATTACACATGAAATCTATCAATTATCCTGTGATGAAACCGATTTGGGAATATTTGGCGTCCTTGCTCTTAGCAAGTCATTGAATATATTCATATGTAACAGAATGATAAGATTTACTCTTTTCACTGTTTGTTGGTAGCTGAATGCGGTGCAGACTGGACTGCACCAACTGGAGCCGTACTGTCTCCGAACTACCCCAGTACGTACGGCTATAACCGTAACTGTATCTACACTATCAGTGTCCAACCTGGACAGGGGATCAGACTGACTGTCAGGGACTTTAGAACTGAAGCCAGCGATGATTACTTACAGGTACGCATGTTACTCGAAGACTCAAAGCATTAAATAACTACTAAAGGCTTAGCGTGCACATCTTTTTTTTGATTTTGACTTGATTTTATGGATGACACCCGCGCGCATTGAGTTTCGACTGTTCTCCAAAAAGAAAAAAAGATTACATCCTCCGGGGCTCTGGCCTGGCTCTAGGCCTGGGTAGTCCATGGTAGCTAGCGACAGTACGGAGCCGGTGGAAACTCTGGAGGACGGCACCCAGGCTGCCGAAGCCCCACGGCGTAAGATCTCAGTACATACGTACTGTGCCGATTCATAAATTCCGCAAAAAGCCAGCATGTGCCGTCTTGTTGTATACGTCTCTATGTACTACTGGAACTTCACAATACCAGCTTTGTATTCCTGTGGTTTAGTAGCATTTTTATTTTTGGCCGGAATTTTTTTTCGCCCGCGCGCACTTGTTTGGTGGTCTTCAGAGGATGTCATCCATAAAATTAAGTCGGTGTGGCCTAACTGCTAGCTCGCCTCAACGCTATAAACTGTATGGTAACCTAAAATGTATTGTCACTTACCGGGATTTTCTAGATTCGTGACGGCATGGATTCAACCTCGACGCTGATTGGCCAGTACAGTGGATCCCAACTGTCCAACGGCCAGGTCCTGGAGAGCACGTCTCATCATCTGTGGTTCAAGTTCTGGGCTGACTCTTCGTCAGCGTACTCAGGGTTTCACATCGACTACGCAGGTAACTTTTGTCTGTTGTCTGTGGGGCCACGGGGCGTAACGGCACTTGTGCTCGACTCGGAACCAAAAGGTCCCGGGTTCGAATCCTGCCATGGCACCAATCTCGTGCCCTTGGGAAAGACACTTGACACGACTTTCGTCATTTACTGGAATGCAAATGAGTATTGTCCTGTCCTGTATTTGCCATCTATGTTGGTGGCGGTATAAAATAAGTTGATATAACTTGAGTGTGCCGTCACCATGTCTATTCATGGAAAGTTGGAATATAAAAAATAACTTCTCAGATATAGAATATGGAAATTCGAATAAACGCTCATCCGTGTTGGTAGAATCAATAATGGTAGAGTTTTAACTTTGTTCCTACACAACATCTTGAGAAAGGAACTCACCAGATCGACCATATAAGGCCACACCAAGTAAATTTTATGGATGACGTCATTTGGAGACCCTACATCTAATGCGAGAGGGCGAAAAAAAACAAGAAAGGCCCTAAAAAACAAGATGCCTAGATTAGAAATATACTAAGAGACGACAAATGTTAGGACACAAATTGAATGAGGTGACACAGTGTAACAAGCAAGAACTTCTTTTATTCATCATCAAAACAGCAATAAATCAGGTGGAACAGCAGTTGTTGTCCTGTCCTGTTTCTTTCATCACATTTTTGCAGGCCTGCAGAAACAAACCATAAAATTACGGCATTGTCTTCACTCTTTGGTCATAGTTACAGGAAGCGGAATTTCTTGTTTTTTTCTAGGAACAGGCCAAAATCAATGCGCGCGCGGACGTCATCCATAAAATTTACTTGGTGTGGCCTAAGCCATATTAACGAGATCGACCGAAACGTTATGGCGAGTTACTTCCTTCTGTTGGAACAAAGCTAAGACTCTACAGCTATATAATGTAGACTTTTAAAAGTTTTTTTGATTGTTTGTTTGTTTGAACCATTCTTTATTTATGGGAGAATGTTCATTTCACCAGGTCAACACAAAGATAGTAGTACATTGTAGGTCTCCTTATCTTGTGTTATTACCGAAACAGCTTTTGATATCACACTGAGGGACTGTGACGACCCGGGAACACCCAGATACTCCAGCAGAGTTGTGACAGGCTTGTCTGCAGGCGACACCATCACCTACACCTGTAACCCTGGTTACACCATGCACGGTACCGCCACTATCACCTGTCTGACTGGAAACAACAGGGTCTGGAGCGCAGCGCCCCCTACCTGCACAGGTACTGCAGCTCAACTCATACCATATTCCTTGACGTCATAATAATTACCATATGAATTTTCTCAACCAGGTGTTGGCGGGTAAATAGACCGATCCTGAAGCTCCGCCCACCTCCGTCAAAACATAGAAATGGAAATATTTGATGGACATGCAGCCTCTCTCCCATTGGTCGAACCGCTAATTGCCCTTCTCTCATTGGTTGAACTCAAATTGTGATGGACTTGGGGATCGGTCTATTTCTGGCATGTTTATATTTAACAGACACACGCTGTAATCCAACATGGCGGATTTAGATAGCCTGTAAACTTTAACTACACCAATGAAACTACTACACCGATGATACAGATTTGACTTGTGGAGTGTAGTAACAAAATTCGGAAAACTAACTAAAACTGCTCTCCTTTTCGTCACAAGCTGACTGTGGAGCGGATTGGACAGGGCCAAGAGGCGCCGTGTTGTCACCAAACTACCCCAGCAACTACGGGTACAGCCAGAACTGTTACTACACCGTCACTGTGAGCGCGGGGGAGTACATCCAGCTCACCGTCAGGTCATTCAGGACCGAGGCCTCAGACGACTATTTGGAGGTTTGCTGCTACACCGCATTCATAGTTACCTTGAGAGAATACCTTGAGAAACCCTCAGTGTAGAAGGCTATCAGCCTGTAGTCACACTCTCCTCACTCTACTAAGGTATTTTCTCTTGCTCCCACAGTCATCCAGTCTCGTCTTAAAACTGTTAACGCTTTCAGCCTTCACAACTGTACTAGGTAAGGAGTTCCAAGGTTGTACAGTCCTCACTGCAAAGGACTGGTGTCTCAGTGTTGTTTTGGCAATCGACACCTTTAGCTTCAAACTATGCCCTCTGGTTTTCTCGCACTGCCTGGTTTGAAAGAAATTTTCAGGTTTGATCCGCTCATGTGCCATCATAATTTTGTATACTTGGATCATATCCCCTCTTTCCCTTCTGTACTTTAGCGATGGCAACTTCAACTCTTCCAGCCTAGAGCAATACGGAAGCTCCTGTAGCTTAGGTGCCATTCTCGTTGCCCTGTGTTGCACTTTCTCCAGCAGTTTTTGGTCTCCACTGAAGTGCGGTCCCCAAACGACATTAGCCTATTCTAAATGCGGCCTCAACATGCACTTGTATAGAATTGGGACGGACATTTCATCCAGATTTGAGAAGGTTCTCCGCATTAGTCCTAGTACCTGGTTTGCCTTTTGGGCGGCCATTGCTGTATTCTCATGAAACCTAAGGTGCTCATCCACTGCAACACTGCAACACCTAGTTCTGTACAACATAAAATTTTCGAAAGACACATTATCATTCAAAGTGGCTGAGCGTGTGTATTTTTCATCGAAGACCTGCGAATAGTTTCATCAGGTTGGTAAGACACTTAGAGACTCTTTTTACACAACCAAGTGTCTGCACTTCCTCAGGGCAATTCTGACTGGTTTACCAGTACATGTTTACCAGTCAGAATTGCCCTGAGGAAGGTGGCAGACAGTCACCGAAATGTCGGTTGAATAAAAGACTTGGTTGTGTAAAAAGAGTCTCTTTGTTATTTGAAGACCTGTTCATTACGGTTTGGTTGGTTTTGCTTTATTTCTGCATTTTACTTACACCCTCTTTTGCTTACTGAGCTCTCTTAGCCGGTGAAATAGCTCGATCGGGAAGAGTGTTCGCTTTGTAACCAGGAGTTTGTGAGTTCAAACCCCAGCAAGATCATAACAAAGACTTTAAAATGGTACTCACTGCTTTCTATGAGAAATACTATCTGGACTATCAGTGGGCTATCCCCCTGTTGTAGTGCTTGCACCACTGTGTGGCCCAAGGGCTACAGAAGTGGAGAGGGCACCACCCCTATGCTCCACATGAAGTGGAACGGAACCTTTTTTCTATTATATTGCTTACAACGTGTCTACATCATCAGCCCCCGATGCCTGCAGATGATTGATTGGTTGATTGATTGATTGATTGGACTCTAGCGGAACGCTGATTGGTCCATACAGCGGAAAGAATCTGTCGCCAGGGGATGTCGCCAAGAGCACGTCTTACCATTGATTGATTGATTGATTGATTGATCGTTCTGTTAGGTTCGGAATGGCCTGGACTCTAGCGGAACGCTGATTGGTCGCTACAGCGGTTCGGTCCTGTCGGCAGGAGACATCCTCAAGAGTACGTCTTACCAGCTGTACTTCAAGTTCCACTCAGACTCATCCTCCAACTATCAAGGCTTCCACATAGATTACCAAGGTACGGGATAGCCACAACCAGGCTCCGGGAAGCGGCTGGAAAGAGTAGGAATTGGCCAAATAGACAGATGACAGGGGTCTCCCCAGAAATTCTTAGAGGAGAGGTTCTCCCTAATCAGTTGATGAAAAATCAGTGAATTTTCATGAAAATACATTTTGAACATTTTGGGAGGTGCTCTAGGATTTCGGGGAGAGGGGGAGCACCCTTGCTCCATTGCTTGGGGAGAGCCCTGGATGATATGCAAGAGGAGTTGGTTCACGTTGATTGTTCTCTTTGCGCGGAACAACTGCAGGGTCATATTATCTGTTTGGCCCATTCCTACTATTTCCAGTCGCTTCCCAAAGCCTGGTAGAGGCCTTGTACGAGATACAGAATACACAGAATGCACGGTTTGTGACGCTTGAATTGTTGACTGATTGTGTCTAGCTACTTTAAAATTTCTTCAGTAATTATCCATATCAGTCACTCTGGTCCGAATCTTCTCGTTTTGCAGTTTAGCATCGTCCACATCACACAGTCTGTGGATATGGATGTTTAGTTTTATAATTTTGACAACAGGGAAAAGAAAACTGTGGCAGATTGTAAGCTCTTAGTTAAATCCCTGTCACACATTCAGAACCGTCCCCAGAACAAGGTTGGCTGAAGTTCGGGAACAGGATGACCAGATTTAGACCACGCCTCGAATCTAAGCTCGACCTACACCCGAACACCAGCCAACCACAAACCAAACAAGGCTGAACCTCTCGTTAACGGCCTTGCACCAGCCGACCTTGCCCTCGACCTACTCCTAACCATGTTTGGGGGAGTTCGGCTAGTTATCGGGGGGGGGGCATATTCGTCTATGATTGACAGGGGCAAAGGCCACCAAATGGCGCATGCCCAGAGGGCCCAGTCTGAGACCCCTTTGAGTGAGTGCAGCCAAACCAACTGAAAAAGCCTTTTTCTTGGTATGTGTGGATAAATGCTGGCATTTTCCAGCTGGAGAGTTATTTCTATTTCTATTAACTTGAAAAAACTGGCTGTTAGGG